TTCCCTACTTCTTCTATCACTTTCTTCCAACAGTAAAACTACTTGGTCAATTCTAACGTAACCATCATGGGTGCACTGTATTTTTGTCACGTTAGATTTAGTAATTTTTTATTTTTAACCAATGGCTGAGATCTTTTTGCCAGTTACCTATTTGTCCTTTTAGGTTTAATTTCAAATAAATTCTTGCGATATTTACCAATTGGTCCTTAATTGTTTTTATTACTTGAATGATGAATTCAAGTAATAGATAATTCTATAATAGTTCTAGCAGTGGCATTCATATGTCACATTTGACCACTTACGACAATCTTTTATGCAAATAAGATGGTATAAAGTCCATCCTGCAGATAACATGTACCAGGAGGTGTGATAGAACAGTTGAATGAACTAAATGATAAGTTGATTGCATACAAAGGCCAAAGTAGAGAAGTGCATACTTTTCGTTTCTTTCCTTTCAGTTATTGTGTTGTTGAAGCCATGTATTTTTATCAGACCGCATTGTTTTCATGTTCATCAGTAGTATGGCTTAACAACTTATTAATGCTTAGTTTTTTAACTTGGTTTATGTACTTGAGCAAAAGTATGTTCTATTGGATCAAGTAGTTCGAGATATGAATGGGTGAAACTATGCCAATTGTTGGCATTTCATAATTGTTGCATCGATTAAAATTGTTTTAAAAAATTAACATAAATTGTTCATGGTTAAGACAGTTCTTAATTTAAGGAACAAATGTTAGCACGACTTTGTTGCACTATTTATCATTGCCAAGTATAAGGTATTTTATCTAAGTATCATAGATGCAAGGAATCGGAAGTGAGAGAAACTTGAAGGGATGTCAATTTGTTAAAAATTCATTGTATTTCAAAGGTGTTACATTAAAAATTAACCAACAGTAACGCCCATTTTACAAAGTATGATTACGAAACGGTATAATTTTATTAAACAATAAAAGCCAATTTTTCTTGTGTAAGAAAATACTATACATTATTAAAAAAATTATAGGATACAAAATGAATGACATAAATCTATAACAATAAATAAAGTCAATATAATGTTTTCATATATACATTTTATTTTATTTTTTTACTTTTTTTTTATTACTTTATCTTTTATATTTTCTCTTATCAATAAAAAAATAATTTATTAACTTCTATTTATTATATTATTTAAATAATTAATCAATATTAAATTATTCACAACTCTTTCCAACTATTTACCAACATCTACTACATACATGACACAAAAACAAACCTTCACACACGACATAATTTTTCACCTTAATGAAACTATCAAAGCAAAAAGAATATTTTTATAAATAAAATTATAACTATCTTAATTTAATGTAAATGAAATATATTTCCAGAACCACAAAATACCTCAACATTATTAGTAATATAAAACAGATGTATATACAATCTCTACTCCTTTTAACATAGAAGAAAATTCTATAACAAAAAAGCATAGTCCAAGTACCAACTATGGAATTAAAAAGAAAACAAAATTTAACTCAAACAACGCAAGTTTTTATTGCTATTATTAATCAATTCTTCCAATGGATGCTCATTGGTTAGAGACTAAATTCAATAGGCTTGCGAATAAATCTTCGTAATGAAAACACAACTAACATAAAATACTTAAATTAATTCATTTCCTTATAAATAAATAAAATTAAAACAAAAAAATGCTGAAGATATAAATATTTCTCGGAGAAATTAAAATTTAATCATATTACAACCCAAAAGAATTTAAATAGATCCAACTAATAGAACTTCAATAACCAAGAATTTGCAAGTTCTTTTAGTCATCTCATGACTGGTTTCACATTTCTTAATTAACCACGTGTTTGGTCAATTGTCAGTGATCTATTTTTCACACCTAGCATGAATAGCTTAAACATCTTTGCCTTGAACTTTTACCTTTAAAACATTTCATAACATGCTATAAATGGGCCTGTCAAGATAATGCGTATGCCGAACAAGAGTAACAAACCCGAACTTGAAAACGTGAACAATCCGGCTCAACCCATTGCAAATTGGTGTATCAAACTATCAACCATGTGTCGAAGTTCCCTTAACTCCATTAATAACACGTCCAAAACCCATGGCAAATCAGCCTTTGCTTGTACAAAGATCCAAATACGTTCATTAAAAATACCATTTCAATGTAGATGGTGATACTACGGAATCAATTATGATAAACCATATCTCACAATAAACGCGTCAACTTATCAAAATAAATTTGACTTCACAAAATTAAACAGTAAAATGTTGATACTATGGAATCAAGTCATGATAAACCATCGTCAAAACATAAATAGGCAAACTGAAAATCAAATGCTCAAACAACAAAACAAAATCTCTGATGGGAGTTGAAGGTTTACTTCAGAGCCACTACAAACTAAAATGTAACTTCCCCGGAACAGATTTTACTTGAGAGGAATGAACCTGGATGAGTGAGTAGCACCAATACCAGGTCTTCCGTGCTTAACGGGCTTGTATGAAATAGAGAACTCAGCCAGATAATGCCCAATCATCTCGGGTTTGATTTCAACCTGGTTAAAAGTCTTGCCATTGTATACTCCAATAATGCTACCAATCATCTCAGGCACAATGATCATGTTACGGAGGTGGGTGCGAACTGGTTCTGGCTTCTCACCTGGGGGAGCTTCCCTTTTCTGTGACCAATCAAAAAGATTTATTAAACAAATAATTCAATTTAATTCCAGAAAATATACCTCACAATAAGCAAATATCAACAATCCATCAGAATACACTTGCATTCAAATAAATAATAATCAGCAGATATGCACTCCTAAACTATAAATTAAAACCTCAAATTTTATAGAGTGAAACTCTTACAAGCCCATTAGAGATTCCAACACTCTTCCCCCTTCATAAAAAGTACATTCCACGCACTATCCTTGCCATTGCTCTCAACTATATCAATTTACAATGCTTCAGTCCAATCTTAATCCCAATACTCAATTTTCTTGACCTAATAACCACTTTAATTAATAAAGAATGTCCTACTAAAAATTAAATTATGAAGTTTACTAATCAAACATATCACTTATAATCGTGTCCACACAAATCGACGTAGTACAATGCACAATTGGAAGTATAATACAGAAATGAGTACAAGACCATAGCCCATAGGCGAAAAGAGGATAGAAAATAGTACCGCTTTGCGAAGCTTCTTAATCAAGGCCATGGGCTTTCTGGTGAGACCTCTCTGGAACCTTCTACGAGCGCGAGCACTGAAGAGCTTCACGAGTTCATCAGTGGACATGTCGAGAAGCGCGTCGAGATCGACGCCCCTGAAACTGAACTTCTTGAACGTCCTCTTCTTGGGTTGGCCTCCTGCCGCGACATCGACCTCAACGTCTGCCTGCAAAAGCAATTACAACGATCAGAAACGAAGGTAACAGAGTAATTAGATTTCACTGTCGCCGGCGGAGAAGAAGAACAACTCACCATTGTTGCCGCTTCCTAGGGTTTTCAACAAAGAGGAGCTGCTCTGAGAGTCCTGGCTTTGGTTTTAATATGAGAGCTTATGTAGTGTAACCCTAAACCATATAGAGTCCCGTGAGTTCCTGGACTGGGCTTCAATATTACTTACTATCTTCCGCCAAAAGCCCATTAAATTATACTTTTTAACAAAACAATAAATATAAATGTTTAAATAATTTTTTAATGCAGAAAATGTATTGTTATGTCCTTTTATTTTGGTCATTGTAAATATTTGGTTTATTTTTAGTCCATCAAATTATAAATTATTCCGAAAACACACACATTAAGATAGTTGCAACCACTTTACCAAAGAAATAAGTTAAAACTTTTAATAAAATATTTTGAAATTGTGTGTTGGGCTTTGGGTTTTATATTGGGCCGAATGTTAAATGGAAGCCCATACGAAGAGTGAACGAGCCATACATACATACGAACATGAAACGATCATCACCATTCGCCACAAAACTCTGTTTTTTGCCTCATTTGTTTTGCGGAGAGGAAAAGATGTCGGGCATGGGAGACGGGTACGTGGGCACCGCCCAAGACGCCGTTCGTATACGGCGGTTGGAGAAGCAGAGAGAGGCGGAGCGCCGCAAAATCCAAGAGCTCAAAACCAAGTCCGCCTCCGCCAAGGGCCAACCCGGCCTCCTCCAATTCGGTTCCAGCACTTCCGAGGTTTTCTAACTTCTCTTCTATCCAATTCTAGGGTTTGTTCCTCCTTTTCAATTTTCCATTCAACTAATCTATCTATCCACGTTTCAGATTCTAGAGACCGCCTTTAAGAAGGAAACTGTGGGATTGGTCACTAGAGAGCAGTATGTTGAGAAGGTACGGTATAGTTGCTACCCTCTAATCTCTTCTCTCACTAATCCCTAACCACACTATTGTAACATGATATGGCTTCTTTGTATGTGTTGATTGCAGAGGGTTAACATTCAGAGCAAAATAGAGGAGGAAGAGAAAGAGAAACTTCAGAAGCAACAGCAAGAGTACCTCTCCTATCCTGTTACCTTTCTCTTTGTTTTTCTTCATAATCTATTACTTATTCTCCCTATCCAAACAGGGAGGAGGAGCTTCAGTTAGAAAAGCGTAAAAAGAGGAAGATCAAGGGCAATTCTCGATTGTCCTTCGCTGAGGATATTGACAATGATGAACCCCAAGAGGAGGAACCATATCATAGTAAGTCACTTCACTTTCCTTCTCTTATTGCTGTTTCAAATTACACTTTTTCTCCACTTATCAATGTGTGGCATGACATGTTGCTAAACTGTTTTACCAGAGAAATGCGAATTTTTGTTGATCGATGATTTATCAAAGAACATTAAACTTTGCTATGCTTCTTGTAGATATTCTGGAAGCAAATAGACTACGGCGTGGCAAGCTTGGTAAAGATCCTACGGTTGAAACTAGCTTTCTACCTGACAGGTGTGTGTGACACCTCTCCTTTTTTCTTTTCTCTTATTCTTTATATTGGTTGTTGCCCTAACGTTCGGGCATAGGAGTGCTGAGGATTCCTGTTCAGTGAGCGAGAGGCTGAGGAGCAAGCTGAGCGTGAAAGGCTGCGGAAACAATGGCTTCGTGAGCAGGAGCAAATTCGAAGTGAGAATGCTTTCCATTGTCTTTTAAACACCCTTTCAAAGAACGATAATAAAGGGTTAAGAAGTATAGCTAATGCAATATGATTACATTGGTGGGGAAATTTGTGCGTATTTGTCTCTTGGGCATATAGCTTAGCTGATGCAGAAAACAGTTATAGACGTATAAAAGTTTATGCTTAATTAAGTTGTGTTTTTGGCATCAGATGAGCCTCTTGAAATCACATACAGCTACTGGGATGGAACTGGCCACAGGCGTGTGATCCAGGCAAGTAAAGGCTAAGTTACTGAGAATACATTTACAGATTTACTATATGATATTATGTCTTGGTGTCTGAACTCTGAACCAGTTTATAACATGATTCAGGTACGCAAAGGTGACAGTATTGGAGAGTTTCTCCGAGCAGTTCAGCAGCAACTTGCGCCTGAATTCCGAGAGATTCGAACAACTTCAGTAGAAAATTTGTTATATGTGAAAGAAGATCTTATCATTCCTCATGTATGAACTTTTAATTTGTTTTAATTTCTATCTTGTTTGTGTGTGTAAGCTATGTTAACATTATTTTAACCAAAGGATATATGCTAACTAACTTTTTTTACCTGTTTCTATTTTTGTATTACAGCAACATAGCTTCTATGAGCTAATCGTGAACAAAGCTAGAGGCAAAAGTGGACCAGTATGTTTCTTTTATGAATTTTTCATTGTTAAATAATATAATCAGTTTCTTAGTGGTCAGGGGCAGGGCATAGCTAGGATTTAGATCCCTCCATAATTTTCTGCAAATGATACACACATGTACTTTATTTTTCAAAAAAAAAAAAAAATGTTACCGCTGTCCGAATTAACGGTTTTTTTTTTTTTTGGCTCGTGTAAAAAAATTCCCCAGTTTTTTTTTTGTAAATTGTTTTTTTTTTTTAAAAAAAAAAAAAAAAAGTTACCGCTGTCCGAATTAACGGTTTTTTTTTTTTTGGCTCGTGTAAAAAAATTCCCCAGTTTTTTTTTTGTAAATTGTTTTTTTTTTTTAAAAAAAAAAAAAAAAAGTTACCGCTGTCCGAATTAACGGTTTTTTTTTTTTTTGGCTCGTGTAAGAAAATTCCCCAGTTTTTCTTGTGTAAATGGTTTCTTTGATTGACAAAAAAGGACAGTAGTATTATAGTTTTAACATTCTGCTTATAGAATATTAGAACAAGGAAGAATGCATTCAAAACTATGTGGATAGTTGGAAAAAGGATATGAGAAAATAAGCCAAAATGATAAAAGAGTGAAAAAATAATGTAATAAGATGGAGAATATACAACTTCTGAGCCAAGATTCTCAATTGCTTACTTAAATAATAAACTAAGTAGTTTTGTTTTCTTAGTGATTTTAGTTCCAATTTTTAAATTGTGTTGTTCTCTGTGTTGCCTTGTTATTCTTACCGATGGCTAATTAAATATGCTAGGTTTAAGTTGTCTCTTTTTTCCCTGGCACAAATTTATTTCCCTTTTTTCAAACATTATAGAGATACTAAGAAAAAAAAATTTGAATAAAAATTCTTCATTTTGGATCATTTGTGAAGAACTCATATGTGATTGTTTAGATAATTAGATAAGATTAAGAACATTCAGTTTTTATGACTCGTTGGAATTCCTCCTCGTTGAGGAAAATCCCTAATAGAAGGAAAAAGTGAATTTGAGAATTTTAGTTTTTTTCTTGTGATAACTGCGGGTTTTGGCTAATAACTTATAATGCTTCAATGTTGCTAGTGTTCATATGGTTGCTGCTTCAGAATTGCGTATCATCCGAAGTATCTATGTCCTAAATAACATTTGCATGCCGTCATAAACTTGAAAGTGTTTCATTGATTATCTTGTGACTATTTCGGTGCTAATGTTACTTATTGTTTTTCTATATGAACAGCTTTTTCATTTTGATGTGCATGAGGATGTACGAACAATTGCTGATGCTACTATAGAGAAGGATGAGGTAGATTTTCTTCCTATTTATTACTCTGCTAGTCTGCTACTGTTATTAAATTTAAATTTACAAGATAATGTAAACAAGTATGTGCATGTTTGTCTTTTGGTGTTCTAGTAAACTTGTCTTCTCTTTGGTTAATTATCTTACTTTGGTGATATTGTCTCAACCAACAGTCTCATGCTGGGAAGGTTGTAGAAAGGCACTGGTATGAAAAGAACAAGCATATATTTCCTGCTTCAAGATGGGAGGTACTCTCTCTCTCTCTCTCTCTCTCTCTCATCTCATGTGTGCAAAGTGCATGAGTTGGTCTTGCTTCCTCCTCAAACCTCTTGGCTGAGTATTTGCCGCGAAATTTAATAAATCTCTATTAAGATAGGATATTCTGTACTGATCATTTATTATATAATAGTCTTTCAGATTAGAGTGTATATGATGTGAATTGCTGTTTTTTGCCTAGCTTCTGATTCTAGTTGCCATTTTTTTCACCATCTGTTACAGATATATGATCCAACGAAGAAATGGGAACGTTATACTATCCACGGGGATTGATTTGAGGCTGCCAAGTAATATGCATTTCGTTCGCTGCCTTGATCATCAGCTGAGCCTTCACGTACCATTTTGTTGATTAATGCTATAATTAGTCATTTCAGTGTTGGGATTGACTAGGTTTTGTTTCTGATTTATTGTAGAAAACTTGGATAATTAGTCATATATCTGTATCACAGAGGACAATTAGGCACAGCTGTCTTGTCAAATAAGTCAACTTTTAACTTATTTGACCAGCTTATAAATTTGTTTAAGCAAATTAATAGGTTTGGTAAAAAAGTTTGTTTTATTATATTTGATTAAACTATTAATTATTAATATGCTAACTTGAAATTTATACTAGCTGAATGAGGAGCTGAAAATGTTTAATAAAATTAGTTGTTGAAATAGTTGATAAATATAAAACAAATATATTTATAATTTTTTAGATTTAGGATAAATTTGTTTTAAGTCTCTTAAATTTAAAATTGTGGTTAAATTTTGTTTTAATTCTTCAAATCACCAATAATATGTAAAAGTGACAAATTAAAATAATTATGTACTATCAGTTGAATTTAATATGATGTTTTCAGTAGGGTATTTTATTTGATAATATTTGATAAATTTTTTAACAAAATTTTAGTATTAGAATTAAAATTAGATTTTTTTTAATTATAGGGATTAAAAAAGTTAAATTTAAATTTGAGGACTAAAAATAAATTTACTGTAAATCTAAGAGCACTTCCAATGGAGGGTGCTTATGGTGTTGCTTAAGAATAAGCAACGGAACTTCCAAGAAACTCCCATTGGAGTAGTCCTACGTGGCAACTCAGTTGCTTAAATTTTTTTCACAGTCGCTTCTACTAGCAACGGTGCTTAGCACTGAAAAACTTGAAAGAGAGAAATTTGATTGGTCCTCTTGTATCTAGGTGGAATATGAACAGAAATTTTGAAAATAAAAAAATAATAAAACATCCTTCACCTCTTCGACCTCCGTCCGGGGAGGGTTGTTGACGTCGGCCGCCTCAGCACGGCTGGGCCCCTCCGCGTGCGACCAACTCTGCCTAGCCGTCCCCTCCGCACGCGACCCCTCCTCACGGCCTACCCCTCCGCGCGCGACCAGACCACTCCGTCCCGCACGCGGCTCCTCTCAACCAGACCCGTTGGCCTGCGAGCAAACCCCTCCGCCCGCGAATCCCCTCTGCCCGCGCGCGTGCGAACCCCTCAAGCCGCGAAACTCGCCGGCGCGCGAACCCCTCCGCCCGCGAAACCCCTCCGGCCGCGAACCCTCAGGCCGCGAACCACTATGGTCGCAACCCCTCCGCCCACTAGTGAAGAGAGTGAGTAAAGAGTGAGAGGATCGTGAGTGGATCGTAAGTGATAAGTGAGACAGTGGAGCGTGAGTGAAGAGTGAATTGAGAGATGTTGAGAGTGCATCAGAAAAAAAATAAATAAATAAAAAAGGATGTGGTATCAAAAATTTATAATAAAATATAGTGTAAGATGTTAAAAAATGTAGTATGAGTTGTAAAAAAGTAGAGTTGCTTATAAGCAATTCTCATTGGGGCAAAAATTGTAAAAATGTAGTATGAGTTGCTTATGAGTGACGTGGCACAGTGGGACCCATTTAAAGTGGTTGGGAGTTTTTTATAAGCAACTCCCATTGTAGAGTCTCTAAGAGACTAAAAACATATTTAACATTAAATATAATATTTTTAAACAACTTTTTATAAACTTTGCCTTTTGTTTAAGCTTAAATATAATGATAGTTTTTATTTTTTGTTGAATTTTAAATTGTTAACTGATTAAATATTTTATTAAGTTAAATAATAAGATTGTATTAAAATAGTAAGGGGGTTAACATAAAAATAAATATTAAAAGGGATAAAAAAAAGTGTATGAAAAAATATTTTATTCATTTCTTTTGTAGCCTTTTAAATTTGCTTTTCATAGACCGTGACATTTTGATGTTCTATAATTTATAGTGAATATATATGATTCATGGAACTGGTTGCATATGTTAAAAAGTGTTTTTTACTCGTGAACTCTATTGAACTTGTGGATTATCTAACACGTGGTTATTTTATATTAATAAGTAATTTTGAGTTTGAATTTTAAATATATAATTATGTAAATTATTTGAAATGAGAGCTTTATCACCTGCTACGGTTTTATAAGACCCAAACAAAATTGTTTCCTATAAAATTAGTTGTGATCACTTAAAAAAAAGTCTACGTTAGTGTGACCAAAAAGAAGAGGGAAATAGAATATATGAAATATATGAATTTAAAATTAATTGGAAGACTTTTAGAAGAAATTTTATCTTAGAAAAGAGAAACCACAAAAAATAGGGTTGAAATTTCTTTTCTAATATTAGGCTTTTGTTTTGGTGAACCGAAATTTCTGACTCTATTAAGGATTTTCTTTTGGAACAAAATTAGTACAACTTTTGTGCGATAAATCATTCTTGTTAGTAATTTCTACTCCATATTTCTCCAATATATATAAGTTTCGTAATCATGAAATTATTGGTTATATTTTCTGGTGATGACTGTTGGGTCACACGAGGTACTTTAATATTTAGAACACTATATAGTATATACAAAGAAAGATGTAAAGAAAACAAGATATTGATTCATGCAATAATAATTTTCCAATAGATCCATAACTCCACCGCACCCTATATTTAAAGTGTTTTCAAATACTATGCAACTTTTTGTGTACCAAATATTCGCAAAAGTCAACAACTTAATATAAAGTACTTCTCATACAATGAATTAAGTATTCACTTTGTTTGGCTTGAAAGAACAGTAAACGTAGTCAGTCACCTTTCTGCAACTAAAAAATTGACTTGACACATTTACACAATCAGCATCCCAAACATGTTGTTGCCTATTGGATTCATAAACCAACAGGCAACTGATCTCCATGAAAGCACTTTGACTCGTTCGGACAATGGGAGATGATTGAAAGATGCAGTTGTTCTGAGCAATCCATATCACAGAAAACCAAATGCATTGTCAACAAATTGTAAGCAGATTTAAAAGTGTATTGACCTGATGATGAAACCCATTTATCACTTCCATGATTTACAATTGAAACATTATGCAAAACATTCAATAAATCATCTTCTCCTTACTTGTACTTGTCCATATTGGAACGACACTTGTATTATTATTCGGTACATAGTTATAAAGAAAACTGGCAAATGAGGTTGTGGAGGAGGCTAAGAGGGGAAGAAAGGAATTGGTGTGTTTTAAAGTGGATTTTGAGAAAGCTTACAATTCAATTAGTTGGTAGTATTTATTTTATATTATGGAGAAGATGGGATTTGATCGAAAGTGGAGGAATTGGATTAAAGAATGTGTGTCTACGGTCAAGGTTTCTGTTTTAGTTAATGGAAGCCCAACATCTGAGATTGGTATGGCAAGAGGACTAAGACAGGGGATCCTTTATCTCCTTTTTTATTCCTCATTGTTGCTGAAGGATTAAGCTTAATGTTTCGAGAGGTTGTGAGTAGATGTTTGTTTAAAAGATAAACTGGTGCAGGTAAAAGACCAACCATTTCACATCTTTAGAATGTTGATGATACTTTGATAGTGAAGAGAAGGGTTGGAGGAATATACAGGCCATTACGTCGATTCCGCAGTTGTTTGAGTTTATCTTTGGACTGAAGGTAAACTTTCATAAAAGTGGGTGTAAATGTGGAAGACAAATGGTAGAGTGAGGCTGCAAATTTTTTAATTTGTAATATTGGGTCCTTTTCATTTAAATATCTTGGGATGCCGGTTGGGGAAACTTCAAAAAGGAAGGAGATGTGGAAGCTGTGATTGAAATGGTAAAAGATAGACTTTGTTCATGGGAAAGTAAGCATATTACATTAGCAGGAAGATTTGTTTTGATTAAATCAATGTTGTCATGCCTCCGATCTATTTTATTTCCTTCTTCAAGGCTCTAAAAGGTATAATTTCCACTCTTAAATCTTTTTTCTTTTTTTTTAATTATGGGGAGGGTGGGGTTGAGAATCATCAAATTCACTGGGTGTGTTGGGAGGTGTGTTGAAGGAAAGAGAAAAGAGGTTTGGGAATGAAGGATATATGGGCTTTTAATTATGCTTTGTTGGGAAAATGTAAGCGACAAATCTTGAGAGAAAATCACTCCATGTGGTATAAAGTTATCAAAGCCAAATATCAAAAAGAAGATGGAAGTTGGGAGTTAAGAGGGAGAAGGGTGTCTACATGGTGGACTGATATAAATTCATTACATGATGTTTCTCCTCTCAATCAAGATTGGTGGGTTGGTAATATTAAAAGAAATGTGGGTAATGGAAATAACACAATGTTCTAGAAAGATCTTTGGACAGAGAATGTGACTTTGGGGAACATTTTCATAGATTATATATAGTTCCACTTGATAAATATGTGAAGGTGGCTGCCTTAAAAGTATGGAAGTCAATAGCGTAGTGGTGGGAATGAACGCCCCGTTCTCCCTCTAGAACAGCCCGTTCTCAGCTACGTTTTATAGATCAATTCAGTAGCTTGGAACGGTCCGTTCCAGATTGGGAACGGCCCGTTCTGGGCTACTAAATCAGCCACATTTTTTTTTCTACGTTACAAGAACGGGCCGTTCCAAAATATGACCGTTGTGATTATTAAATGCACTCCAGAACGGGCCGTTCTGGTTTGAGAATGGGCCGGTCTGAATGTGATTTTTAGTTGTGATTTAAGGGTCCAGAACTGACCGTTTCGGATTTGGAACGGGCCGTTTCGGATTTAGAATGGGTTGTTCCGGCGAAGCCTGATGCCTATAAATTGAGCTCTCTGCCACTCCCAAAAAGCACACCTCTCATTTTCTGTCTTCTTTTCTTTTGCTCTCTCTTCTTTCCCTCTACTTTCTGCTTCAGATCGAGGGGAACCCAGTGAGGAAGACCAACCAGATCTTGTATAGGTTCAACTTCTACATATCAAGGTACTGGAGAAAAGGAGATTATTTGTATGTAGAGTTACATGAAGGAATTGGGTAGAGGAAGAGTCCCTTAAGATTATGAGTAATTTTATAATTATTTCTATTTGAGAAATTGATGATCCCATTAAATTCTGTATGTGTTAAGGATTAGAAATATATATTTAATTCGTAAGAATGATGATCTGGGAGAGAGAACGAAATTATAGAAAAGTGTCTGTAAGTTAGGTTTTGAAAAAAAAAATGGATTATTTCTCTTTGAGGAATTAATGATCCCATTAGATTCTGTATGTGTTGAGGATTAGAAATATATATTTAATTCGTAAGAATGATGATATGTGAGAGAGAACAAAATTGTAGAAAAGTGCTTGTGAGTTAGGTTTTGGAACAATTGGG